GATAGTTTTTACATTTTGATATGCAGATTTATTAACTGCTTTTAGTAAGTCAACTTAATACAACTTACAGTGGTGATTGTGAACAAAATGTAATTCAATTTCCTGGTACTTTTTCCATGTTCGAAAGTATTCTTTAATGCAGAAAAGTGCTCATTCTAAGATTTTTTAAATATGTCATTTAAAAGACAAGATGACAGATTAAATGTTCTTTGAATTGACTATTTACAATGAATACAATAAGAAACTGATTACTTCTTCATTTTAAAAAAAATATTGACACAGCTATGAATTACTATAACATATTAGTTTCATTTATATTTATTCAATTTAAATGCTATTTATTAAACTTATGTATTAACTTTTATTGCTTTATTAAATAATGTACAGTTCTCCCTACCATTTTATTCACGGGACTTACATCACCCTTATCAAAATCACCTTATACCTTGAAGAGGCACTATATTGATTTAAAATCTGGAAAAGTACTGATAGAGATCTATCTGGATATATTACTTGTATACAACAGGTCGCCTGCACACAGGGATGACTTACATTCTGCTTTTGCTACATAAAGTCCTGAAATAGACAGTTTAACACTTACTGACAATTTCTTCTTATCTTACTTCTTTCTTCTTTATCCCAACATTTTAAACAGATATTATCATCCTCATCCTTGGACATTCAAAGACAGGTGCATACATGATGTTGTATATTATTGCTTAGTTGTGTGTGCTTCTGTCGTTTTGTCTACAGGATGGTGAAATGTGGACTGACAAAGCGATGCTGTGAAGATCTGGTCTCTGCTCTTCAGTCTCAATACTCCACTCTGAAAGAGCTGGATCTGAGTGAGAACAACCTAGGGGATTAAGGGATGAAACTGTTGTCTGCAGCTCTGAGGGATTCTAAATGTAAATTAGAAACATTAAGGTAAGTGAACTGGTGATTTCTATTTTATTGTTTTTTGTAGTTATGGTGAGACACACAACATTCTCTTTTTAACATGCATCATAAAAGAAGAGAGAGAGTAGAGTTTACTGTCATATGCACAAGTGCAATTAAATGCTTTGCATGTACTGTATGCTCCTATACAAAGACGTCAAGGAAACACCAAAAACAAGAACACAGAACAGGGGAAGCAACAACAACAAGTTAAATAACATACAACTTAGAGAAAAAAACATCAGTGTGAGCCAGTGAAAGGGGCAGAGTTCAGTAAACTGACAGTTTGAGGGAAGAAGCTGTCTCTGAGTCTAGACGTTTGTGCCTTTATGCTCCTATAGTGCTGGCCAGAGGGAAGGGAGGAGAAAAGTGAGGATCCAGGATGACTGGTGTCCTCAACGATACTTCCAGCCTTCCTGAGACAGCGAATAGTAAAAATGTCTGATATAGAAGGGAGCTGTACTCCAGTGATGGACTGGGCTGACCTGACGACCCCCTGTAATGCCTTCCGGTCAGAAAATGAGCTGCTGCCAAACCACTCTGTAATACCACATGTGAGCACACTCTCAATAGCGCACCTGTAACATGTGGTAAGGACAGTTGAAGACAGTCCAAATGTTTTCAATTGTCTGAGGAAGTAAAGGTGCTGCAGTGCCTTCTTTGTAGCTCCAGTTACATATTTGGACCATGTTAGGTAGTTAGCGATGAATGTACCCAGGAACTTGAAGCTGCTAACCATCTCAACAGCCACCCTATTGATGTGAACGGGGTGTGGTCCCCACCATGCTTTCTAAAATCAATGGCCAGCTCTTTGGTTTTATTAACATTGAGCGAGAGATTATTGTCAAAGCTCCACTCCACCAGGCTCCTGAACTCATCCCTGTAGGATGTCTCATCATTAGCATAGATTCGGCCAATGATGGTGTGTCATCAGCATATTTGTAGATGGAGTTGGATCTGTCTGGACACACAATAGTGGGTAAACAAGGAGAACAGCAGAGGGCTAAGCACACAACCCTGAGGGGCACCTATATTGATGGTCAGCGTGGAAGAAAGTTTCCCATCTGCCCTCACAGTCTGTGGTTTGCCAGTCAGAAAATCCATAATCCCCCCGCACAGAGAGGTGTTGACGCCCAGGTCATAAAGCTTCCTCACTAGTCTGGAAGGAACTATTGTGTTAAATGCGGAGCTGTAATCAATGAAAACCTGTATTTTATATACAGCTGAAAGAATGTGAGTTAAGATTTTGCTACCTTGGCATAAAAGTATTATGCATTTTATTTGAGGGTCTATCTCTTTCACTGTTGCACAAAATTGTCAAAATGATGAAATCGGGATCAATAACACTAGTGTGCAACTAATTTGCTGTGAATTTTTAAGTCCAGAATTTGTCAGAGCTCTTCTCTCAGTCTCTTGTTACTGTTTGTTCTCTGAGCTTTGAAGTTCCTTTGTTTTGACCTTGGTTTTAAATTTGTACCCTCTGCTTTTATCTTGTTAAGTTAAGAGATAGATAAGATCACTTTATTACCCATACCCATTTCTTGCATTAGGAATTTGTCTTTTTGCATAACCCCACTTGCTCTCCATGAGACACACAGACGGGGAGAGAGAAGCTTGGGGTCAGAGCATAGGGTCAACCATTTACAGTTATACAGCACCCCTGGAGCAGTTGGGGTTAAGGCCTTCCTCAGGGGCCCAACGGAGTAGGATTCCTCTACCAGTCACAGAATTTGAACCAGCAACCTTCCAACCACAGGCGCAGATCCTTAGCCACAGAGCCACTGCTCTGCCCACCCCATGCCTTGCTAGCTGGACAGGAGGTGTTATGGACCTAAAAGCAAGGACAATAAAGTCCAGTGGAAGGTGGCTGCCTCACAGCAGTATCAACTCCACTTTGCAGCCACTGATTCAGAGCAGAATTCAGGACAGGGCCAAGTTGGTCAGCCTACACTGGACAGACAGGGTGCATGCTGCCAAGGCAGTCAACCAGAAAGGGCACCTGATACTGGGTTGTTTGGACCACACAATCTTCAGGGGGCTGTTCCAGAGACCAGGCTAGTGCATGCTCTCAGTGTGGATTGAGGAGGTGCACCAGGGACCAGGCCCACCGATGATCGGGACTGGTGTGGTGTAGAGACCAGGCCTTCCTGTTACACATAGCAGACCGAGTCAGTTCTAAAACATACAGCAATAGACAGGGTTCCCAGTCCAGGCAAGTCAGGGAATCATCACGTGAGGACTCTGGACAGAAGAGATGGTAGACAACCAAGGAGAAGCTGATCATAAGACGTATCTTTACCTTCATCTAATTCTCACCAAGTTCTAACAGTAACAGAGTGGAAATGTTTCAAAAATAGAGTAGGGCTAATAGCTTGTGATTATGGAATAATAAACTATTAAATTAGGTGCTTAAATGTATAGTAATGACCTGATAACACATTGAAAGTGTGTTTTATTTATGTTATTCTCATATTATCTAGTATTAGTATCATCTAATACTATCACTAATAGTATCACTAGTACTGTATATAGTATTCTCATAATTCTCTAGTACTTCCATTGCCTCTCCTACAGTTCACAATTCACCCTCTCCTATTCACGCTGAGCTCCAGCACCTTGCAGATTGAGCACTGGTGAAGGTCTCTGCTTCCTTCTTTCCCTTTTGTCCTTTTTCCCCTTGCACACATCCACGGGGTAATACTGACAGGGTCTGGGTACCTGTGTTGTGACAGTGTAATAAACAGTGTCTCTGTGATCGGTGCTCATAAATGTGCTGCTCAGCCAGGATTTTTACCTCAGCTACACAGACTTTCTCCTCTCTGTCTCTCAGTTAAGTCTCTCAATCACCTCTGCCTCCTGGGCTCCTGGCTCCAGAACTGTGCAGCAGTGACTCACATTGTCAAGACAGTAATAGAACTGTTCAGTGGGTGCAGTGACAGGTATCAGTGTCCTGTTACTATGAACATGAATAAAATTAAAAAGGACATATGGGAATAATTTAGTTCTGAGAAAGGTAATGATGTTACCTGTTATATGATGTTATATTTTGTTATATTTTACCGTTAAGTTTGGTTTTGTAGTGAACATTTAAAATGAAAGATGCAGATGAGCTGTGCAGATGTTCAGCTGTGCTATCTTTTTGTCTGCAGGATGGGAAGCTGTGGACTAACAGAGAAATGTTGTGAAGGTCTGGCCTCTGCTGTTCGGTCACCTCACAACAGAGAGCTGAGCCTGAGTGAAAATAAGCTGGGGGATTCAGGAGTAAAACTGTTGTCTGCAGCTCTGAGGGATCCCGACTGTAAATTAACAGCACTGTGGTAAATGAACACTGTGGGATTTCTGTTGTGTTAAAAGAACATTATCTTTTTCTTCCTTCATGCATAGTTCAGTCCATGCCTCTTCATTAATTACCCTCTTCTCTTGAGTCTATTAGAACTGAGGATTCAACACTTGGAATTCAACGCAACAA